GACAATCACACCGACCCTGGGCGCGATCACGCGTGTGCGCCGTGCTGACCTGAGTTTAATCGTTTCTGTTTCTGGGGAAACAGGTCCAGGCTGTGGTGGGGTTCTGGCTGGTTTTGCCCTCTCCAGCTAACGAAGACGGAAGGGCCGCCAGACTCTCGTCGGGAAAGAGGCCACCTCACTGTCCATGAATACTGTTCCTGCTTCTTCCCCGCCTGGTCTCATCGCTCGTCTGCTCCTATACTGGGTCCCATGCTGGCTGTTGCCCCAGTCCGAACACTGGTGAAGAAAAGCAGACCCGGAATTATAATGTTTCCACAAAGTAGATTTAGCTCAAAGCTCAGTTTAGGCCCTGGTGCACTCCTCTTTCTCCAGCTGTGTTATTCAGTGAGTTCCTAGCGGTAAACAATTACACTTGGTGACCTGTAATGAATTGCCAGTAGTGTTCCTACTAGCTTTAGCAAGCTCTAGTGTATGACAGAGTGTGTAAATTCTTTTCCCTGCTCATCAGCAGCTGTCGTTTTCTAACATGTCTGTCAGCAATAAGACTTGAGAATGAAATTTTGCTTTCCCAGTTTGCGCAATGATGACGAAAGCACGGAAATTAACCTGAAGGCAAAAATTTCTATCTGCTTGGCTTCAATATGATCGAATATTCACGTCCATGTTACTATTATCTCGGTATTATCATTTGGGGTCAAATTCCATGGGAGCTGTCTTGCGTCATTCAGAGGCCACAGTTTTGCGAAATCTCTTCCTCTTGCCAGATATTATTAATAATAAAACAATACTATTTAATTTTACCGATAATGATCATCATAACAACAAGCGTTGCAGGAAACTCAAATAAAAGCGAACTGCGGGCGAGAGGAAAACCCGGCCTCCTGGGAGACGAGCAAGAGTGGACAGGAGGGAATCCGTTGCGCAGGAGCGTGTTGAGAGTGTGGACAGTCCCCCAGTCTCCACACGAGTGCCGCTCCCCTTCAGCAGTTCCTCACAGGGCCAGGCCTGGGGCTCAGAGTCCCTCCCGGTTGTTCCAGTGACCTGGTTCGAGTTCATACAGCACGCAGGCGTACCGGGATGAGACTGCGCTGAGCTGCATCGGTGGACGAACACTCGGGACTCAGGGAGGTTAACTTCCACACCCGAGCCCCACCAGAACATGAGGCCAGCTCGCACCCCGGTTCCTGTGGCATTCAGCGATCACAGAGTGTGGGACCCCCTCCTTGGATGGGACACTAGTCTATCCCAGGGATTCCCCCCCGGCAGTGCTGGTCCCTGCTCACACAGCTGGGTGGGCCGGGGCCCCTGGCGCACAGGACCTCACTCAAGGTACAACAGCAGAGTCTACAGCTGGTTCCCGAACCCACCACCCCGCCGCTGTGAGTCCAGAGGGTCATCCGATGCACTGCGCCGCCCCTCTGATGAACAGTAAGAGGTGTTCAGAGTTCTAGAGGGGATCAATTATTTTAAACCATGTTGAATGAGCATTCCGCTTCATTACACAGTAGTTCTTGGAAATGCAAGCTGCCATAAGATACTGGGTTTTGACCTGTGGTTGTTGGCTGGGTGGAAGTTTTAATCAGGGCAAGGGGATGTTCAGTGAGGTCCTTTCAGCTCTACAGTATTAGATACAGTAGATAAGATTCCTACGAAGGGAAAATGACTGAGTTCTAAATTCAAAAACAACTACAGCAACAACAAAACAAACCAGACTCACAAGAGGATGTCAATAAACATGGACACAAAACCTAACGGAATTGAAAGAATGCAATAAATATTCTTACAGACGGTATTTTGCATTAAAAAAACATGGAGTAGACTGGCGCACAGCTTACAGAAATAAAAGTGAAGTAACTTCAAAGGACTTTTCCAGCTGTGACTCACGGGGAACTGGCACGTTTTTCCGCTTGCTTATAAAACCAAGCCCAAACACTCAGGAAGGCCAACACCACCACTCTCTGGAAGGAGAGAGAGAGATTGATTTCTCAGAATATTTCAGGACAGTATTCCAGAGGTTTTCCTCTTTAATAGGTCAAAGATTTTGAATGATAAAGTTCGCTGAAGCGAATTCACAGAAAACGGTTCAGGTAGGACCTTTCACTGTTGCGGGCCTGCAGAGTCCCCTTGTGATCCAGGGGACTGCAGTGGCCATCCCCAAGCCAGAGGGGGATCTGCCCATGTTTCACCTCCCTCCTGGAAGACTAAACCAGGAGGCTCAGGCCAGACCGTTGCGCCACTCGCCACCAGAGCCACAGACTCGCAGTCTGGACTCGGTAGGACTGGGAGCCACATGTGAGACAATAATCAGCACACAAGTCACACAAGAGCCCAGTGCTGCAGAAATGATCAACAATGTCTTGGGAACACAGCCTAGAGACACTTTTGGTCCAGATGGACTGAATGACCTCCTCTCATTCGTCACCTCTCTTCCATTCCTATTGAATCCAAATCCAATTTTATTCTCTCCCAGTCTTCACCCATCGTCTATAACCCCCGCCCAACAGCGGCCCGCCATTCTGATCTACGGCACTAGCAGTATGCTGGCAAGCAGTGGGATAATCAAGAGGCTGTAACACCGTGGTACCATTTATAACTCCCAATTTGAAAACTCCAAATTGTTGGTGATAATAACTGGACTT